ACTGCCCAGCAGGACATGAAAATTGCTATAGACAAGGAGCTGCTACGGTTTCATTCATTCCTTTCCTAAATGGGAGTTTGCATCGCTGTGGTCTGGATCCCACTCTGCCTTGCTGCGGTGGTGACGATGACAGTCCGGTAGCTCAGGTGATGAGTATCTGTAACAGACCTAGTGGAGAGAGCTGCACAGAACCCAGGGTGGCTAGATTTGAGCTGTCCACGGGAACAGAGGACAGCTCCGGGGCCTGGTTTGGAAATGCTGGGAGGAGGTTCCATGCTTGGGAAGAAGAGTATGCAAGGATATTTGATTGGGAAAAAGGGAAGTTCATACCAGAGAATGCTAGTTTTCCCCAATTTCTATTTTCCTCCCTCTTGGATAATAGAATTCCTAAGATTTACCCCAATTGCATGGATTCCTGGTCAAAAGTTTCCATTTTTTCGACTCCCATAGCTAGTCCGGCTGCTTGACAAAGTTCTGCCCGATAGCACAAGAGCAGGGGGTCTGGTTGCTGCTTCTTTGTTGAGGCTTTAAAAGAAACAGACATGTTTTCCCCTTCAACTTCCCCTCCTCTCGATTTCTGTTGACTGGAATATGAACATGATGGAAGGAGCTGGAGCAGCCATATTGGACCATGAGTAAAAAGAATCTGCATGTTGAAGGTGCCAAATTACCGAATTGTAAGGCACCTTGTTCTCTGATACTATGGAGCCCTACACAGCCCTGGACTGGTTTGTATGGACTCTTGAGAGAAGAACAGGCTACCCTGTTAGACTCTCTCTTACCTTGGCCTCTGTTCAAGCAGCTAAAATGGTATCCTAAGCAGTACCTCACAATACTATTTCTTTTGAAATGGAGATCTGAGAAGCTGAAATGGAGATTCCTTAGAAGAAATGTTGGGAACATTAACACTGAGTTCCGAGATTCTCCTGCCTGCCCATGAATTCTACACAGCAAGGCCTGCACCAGCTGTTCAAAGGCCCATCCAGAGGCCCTGCTGAAGTGACAGGAGGCCTGGGCTTTGTCATTCTCTGGCCTCGTAGGGAGCAGCTGATGGGAGGGCCTGGTGCAAATGCTGTAGCAACCTGCCCACAGACAGGCACCATCTGTCTGGACTGCAGTGGTACCAAGAGCTGCCAGGCCTGGGATGATCTAATTGAAAAGAGGGCTATGACCCCCCCACTCCTCCTCGGGAGGAGGAATCACTGCAGCTGCCACGGGTCACCCACCAGCCGCAGAGTACTGCCCGCTGCTCACGTGCTCCGCCTGTCAACTGTCCCCAGGTTTTCAGCTCGGCTTGAACACAAGTGGTCAGCGACTTTAGAGGCATTTTTTCTGCACTTCAAGAAGAGGCAAAATGCCTTTGGTCCCAGAGCCAGAGGAACTGTATTAAATTTTGCAATCTCATCCTGTGGATTAGAGCATGGTATAGGATTCCAGGCAAAGCCATGGAAAGAGCATTGTATTTCATATAAAAGATTTACATTTTCACACTAGGTCTGTCAAGCCCTTAGTCTAATGGTTGAGACAGGGCTCCAGAACTAATCAGTTTCAGGTACAAATCCTGGTCCTGCACTGTGCAACCCTAGGCTAGTTCTTAAATGCTTTCTAAGCCTTAACTTTATCACCTCGAAAATGGGTGTTTTTGTGGTGCCAGTTACCTGCTTACCTCTTACACGGTGCCTGTAATTGTTGGACAGTATTGATAATTTTATTATTATAAGTGTGCACCTCTCCAGATATATGGCTTAGCTCATCACCAAAGTCCTTCTGTAATGGAAATCCTGAGAGACCAGAAACTCTGGTGGGGTTGATGATTGTGGATGGATGGGTGCTGGGGTGGGGTGCAATGCAGGGTGCAGTGCAGGAGAGGGACAGTAAACCAAATATACCTGACATAATTACCTTGGGAGAAGAGGGGCAGAAAAGAAGTCTGTACTTAGGCAGTGAACCTTTATTAAATACCAAGTCTGAGCTGGGCTTTATTCTGCCTGGAAAGAAAGGAATAGACGGTGTGTCTGTTTAATGGGAGTTTCTGTTCTGGTGCACAGAGCCAGTCAATACAGACGTGAACAGCAACTTTTTGGTAACCAACTTTCCCAAACTCATCCAGCTCACCGGTCAGGTGATAAAGAGCTTAGTTTTTTTTTTTTTTTTTTCATTTCAGATGTCTGAACACTGAAGATTTTAGATCACAGTTTTTAGATCGCAGTTTAATCCCCAGCCTTCTGTGAGCTGCCTGACCTTGGACGAGCTGCGCCCCCTCTCAAGGGAAAGGTCTTTCCCTGGTACACAGTGGAGATGCTGGTCCCAGCTTTGGATGGTGTGGAGGTTGTTGTACTTTCAGCTCCCTAAGTCCGCCCCATCAACGTCAGCCTGAGTGCACCTTAAAAATTAGGGGAGGATGTGTTTCCAAACAGAGGTGCTTGGCTAGTGAGGTCCTGTTTGTAAGTGCTTCCAGGGCTGGTTGGAGCAGAAGGCAGAGGGCGGCAGGGGAGCATTCAAGTAAAGAGCCTCCGAAAGGTGCTGGGGATTAAAAAGCTATTACATGGATGGAGGGTTAATAAGAAACATTCGTTTGAAATAAATGGAAGATCATTCAGACAGGGAAGGAGATAATTAGAATAGGACGTGGAGTGAGGGGGGCAGAGCTCGGGCAGAATTCACCAACGGAGAGGCCGGCAGGTTCTCAGCTGCCACCCGTGCTCAGGGGCCCCGGGGGAGCAGAGCTGGGCCACACCCGCGTGAGGACAACGTGCACCTGCAGGTCAGGCCTGCAGGGTCTCCCCCGGATCAGCAAGTGGGAAGTGTGGGCCCAGAGCTTCATTCTGCGTTCAGGTGGGCACACCCAACTCCACACAGTCAAGCTGACCCGCGTGATGGAATGAAGTGTTCCCTTAATCTGACGTAGTGGTGTTTTGTGTTGCATTAGTACAACCCTGCAGACTTGCCTGGTGCTCAGATGGTAAAGAATCCACCTGTAATGCGGAAGACCTGGGTTTGGAAACTGGGTCTGGAAGATCCCCTGGAAAAGGGCGTGGCAACCCACTCCACTATTGTGGCCTGCAGAATCCCATGGACTGCACAGTCCGTGGGGTCGCAAAGAGTCGGACACGACTGAGTGACTTTCACTAGACTTCTCTAAAGACCCACTGGAGGGCTTCCCCGGTGGCGCTAGTGATAAAGAACCCACCTGACTAATGCGGGTAGACCTAACAGACAGGGGGTTTGATCCCTGGGTTGGGAAGATGATCCCTGAGTTGGGAAAATCCTCTGGAGAAGGAAATGTCAAACCCACTGCAGTATTCTTGCCTGGAGAATCCCATGGACAGGGGAGCCTGGTGGGCTACAGTCCATAGGATCGCAGAGTCAGACATGACTGAAATGACTTACTACGCATGCACACACACAAGCCTTCAGGCTACTAACAGTCTTCCTCAGTTACCTAAGATGTCTTAAAGGGGAGGGGAAGATAGAATACATGTAGACAGATAATGAACTCCGAGTCTGATAGATCTGGTTTCAAGGCTTGATCTTGTCACAGACCAACTGTGTGACTTCAGGAAAGTCACGCAACCTCTCTGTTTCTCTGCCTCAAACGTGGGAGATGTAATACCTGCTTTCTGGGATTGTATGAGGATTTCAGATGATGGAGAATAGATCCGAGCCTAGCATAGTCCCAGACAGATATTAGACAAGCGATTCCCCATCCAGCAAAGATTCTTAATTTTAAATGATTACATAATACAAGGCAAAATGAGTAGTACTCTTTTTAGGATCTATTTTATTTTTTCAAGGTTTTAAATACCTCTCATTTGGTACAGAAAACACGAGATTATCAGTAGGCGTTGTGTGAGTCCAGTTAAGTGCAGAATTTGTGGCTGTTGTTTCTCCTAACACACTTTGTTTTTCTACTGTACTGTTGTTGTTGTTGTTTTTGCTTGTATTGTGTGTGTTTGGTTTTTTGGCCACCCTGTGTGGCTTGCAGGATTTTGCTTCCCCAACCAGGGATTGAATCCGGGCCCCAGCGGTGAAAAAGCCAAGTCCTAACCGCTGGACTGCCAGGGAGTTCCTACTACACTTTCATTTTAAGTAATTTTTTTTTCCCTTAGAAATCTGTAGGAATCATAAGTATAAAACAAAAGGTAGAATTAGTCTCAAAAATATTGTTTCTAAGTAAGATCAAGCAGAAAGCTATCTCAGATGCGCACCGCGCTGCAGCTTTGGTCTTCCATAGTGTGACTGCAGAAGTCCCTACGATTCTTCTCCAGTGGTCTCTGCTTTGTCCCTTCCACGCTCACCCAGACACTGGAAGAAGTTTTCAAAAGCACCTACCGCCAGGGGCTGCAGGCTGGGTTACCGGCTTGCACACACCATTCCTTTCCTTCAAACAACAACCTGGATTGGCATCTGAGGCTGGAGAAGTTGGACGTGTCCCCGTGGCCACTCAGCCGGCAAACAGCTGAGCAGGACCGACCCCAGGCAGACAGGCCATGGGCCGCGTCAACGCGGCATCGGGGGGATGCAGGCCAAGGCTCCCCTTTCCGGGAGGTGGCTCAGCCACATCACTGCTCTCCACTGGAAACGAGGTTTTGAAAGTGCCAGTTACAGCAGTAGCCCTGCTCCCCACAGAACAAGAAGCCGTGGGCCCCGAAAGCAAAATGAGGCCGCAGAGGAGGCGGGAGAGATACAAGGTCCCGTTTCTGCTCCGAACCGTGGTGGAGAGGATGCCTCTTCTTGCCATGGGGCTGACTGCTAAGCGCGCTCTCAGCCCGGGGTGGTGGCCCGTCCATCTGTGCAGTGACAGCAGCCAACACCTTTGGGCTGATCACCCCTCCGCCCGCGGTCCCCACACCCCGGCTGATCACGCCCTCCGCCCGTGGTCCCCACACCTCGGGTGATCACGCCCTCCGCCCGCGGTCCCCACACCTCGGCTGATCACGCCCTCGGTCCGCGGTCCCCACACCTCTGCTGATCACGCCCTCCGCCCGCGGTCCCCATACCTCGGCTGATCACCCTTCTGTCCGCGGTCCCCACATCTCGGCTGATCACGCCCTCCGCCCGCGGTCCCCACATCTCGGCTGATCACACCCTCCGCCCGCGGTCCCCACACCTCGGGTGATCACGCCCTCGGTCCGCGGTCCCCACACCTCGGCTGATCACGCCCTCCGCCCGCGGTCCCCACATCTCGGCTGATCACCCTTCTGTCCGCGGTCCCCACACCTCGGGTGATCACGCCCTCGGTCCGCGGTCCCCACACCTTGGCTGATCACGCCCTCGGTCTGCGGTTCCCAGATCTCAGCTGATCACGCCCTCCGTCCGCGGTCCCCATACCTCGGCCTCCTGTCCCTTCCGCTGTGGGACAAAGAAGACCGGGAGAGAAAGCCTCTGGCCTTGAGGTGTCTGCACGGATGCTGGAGTGGAGGGAGGTGGTGAGATAAGGGGCATTTCAGGCTGTTTCTTCTGCTTGTGTGAGTAGCACATGATTGATTTCAGAAAAAGAAATTTATTTCCCTGCAGACGTATTTTTATCATCTGCTTGAATTCCTTGATGCCTTATTCACCATATGTATAGAAGGGCCAGGTCTCCTTCAGAGAGAAATGGAAGGGAAAATGGATAACACTTTAAACTTGGGATGAAAAAAAAAAAAACACACACGTGCGCGCACACACACACACAAACCTCTGCCAGATAAAATGTTCCGTGACCTATGAGCTTTGGAATGGGTCAGAAGGATTATACGAAGGCTGACATTTAGAAATGATGAGATCCGTAGGCTGCTGCGTTTGCATGTAGCACGCCAAAATACCTTCCCGAGCTCGCCTTCCGGGGGAGCCTCCATGAAGCCCCTCTGAATAGCAGGCACTTTAACCCCGGGGGTGAGAGCCAGACTTCAGAGAGTCACTTTGTGCTGACTTTTACAGGGTGAGATGACTTTATTTAAAGGGACATATTCAATTTAGTTAAACCCTCAAATTTAATGTACTCCTAAGGGAAAAAAAAGGCTTAGGAGAGGCTAATATTAATGGAAATGATTTCAGAGGGAGTTATGGACAGGAGGCAGGGAGGTTATGGTGGACAAGGAAAGGAGGGATGGGCAGAGAAAGGGGAATTTGTATGCAATGAGTTTCTTGGACATAAGCCTTTTTTTTTTTTTTTAATTAAAGTCTGGTGTGTTTAACATTTAGGTAGGAGTGCACACGCTTACCTGGGATGAGTTAGCTCTGGGAGACTGAAAATATGGGTAATTTTCAGGACCCCTTTGTTGTTCTGGTGTAGAGTTAGTGCTTCGGTAATACATTAACTAGGATGTAACCTAAAGCATCCAGTTCTTGAACAGGGCAGTTGGAGAAGATCTTTTTCAGACAACAGCTGTCCCTGGTAATTTGCACAGATGGAGGCCGAACCGGGGAGCAGACAGCCGTCAACACGGGCTGGCGAAGGTGTTCTTGCACTTACTTGGGGATACCAGGGAGTCAGACATCCTGGAATGCACTTTCAAGCAAAGTCTCCCGAGGGGCAGACCTGTCTCTGGAGTGCTTTGGAGCACTGGAGCGAGATCACGTCACCAGCTGGCTTCTTCCACAGCGGTTCTCTGCCTCTCTGCTTGGGTCCTGCTGGGAATGGACCACTTATTTAGGACTGATCCACGGCATTTCTCCCTCTCAGACTTTCCCAGGTAGGAGACGAGGGGCTGTCCAACGGAAATGCCAATCCCCTACAGTCTTCTTGCCTGGCAAAGCCCATGGACAGGATAGAAACTGAAAATGTGGCAAATGAATTGAATAACCAAGAGGCCAATGGTCAGCATAGCTGCATGGACATCTGCAATGGTGAATGCAGTCGCTCGCTGTCTTCCAAGCTGTATGAGAGCAATCTTGTATCTCAGCTTTCTCCTGTACACCTTAGTGGGCGTCACTCCCTCACAGTCTGATCCAGCAGGCTGATCCTGTTCACCATCCTTTTCTAAGCCTCTTCGACATCGCCTATATTATAATAAATTAAAAGAATGATATTGAGAGACTTCAGTAAGGGGCTGATTGCATTGAATGTGAGCTTCCCTGAGGTCCAGAAGTAAAGAATTCACCTGCCAATGCAGGAGCCGCAGGTTTGATCCCTGGGTTGGGAAGACCCCCTGGAGAAGGAAATGGCAGCCCACTCCAGTACTCTTGCCTGGAAAATCCATGGACAGAGGAGCCTGGTGGGCTATAGTCCATGGAGTCCTGAAGAGTTGGACTTGATTTAGGGACTAAACAACAACAACAACAACAACAAATAGTTCAACAACAACAACAAATAGTTGAATGTAGCAAGAGTAGTATCTTAAGGCTCAAAAAATGATGTGCATGTTGGAAGCATGTGATAGAAACCACTGTAGACTGGCTTAGGTAAAAGAGATAATTTACTACAGGGATATATTACAGAAACTCATAGACTCAAAGGAGGGCTGTGCAGAAATGCTGATTATATATTTCCACGTGAAAAATATTTATGTTAGTAGTTCCTGACCTCCTTTTTTCCAGCTGTCAAGAGTTTAGGCCTCTTTCACATAAGACTTGATTTCTATAATTTGGAGGAGGAACTCTGATTGGCTGAGCTTGAGTCATTGGCTCTTGAGCCAATCACTGTAGCTACAGATATGAAACACTGGCTGGCCAGGATGAGGTCACATGTTCCTCTGTTTGGACCCTGCTTGGTTTTAGAGAAAGGGAACACGGTGGGAAATAAGGAGAATTCGGTTATTATAATTTGACACATAGTAGATGTGGTATTCCTACTTATTTAGAACAAGATCATAATCAATGTTTTTCTTCACGGTGCTATGCTACTAACTTGGTGACCTATATTTCACAATAAATATTATCCCTTTCAAACTTATAACTTGGCTTAACCAGTCATTTCGTATGTTATATTGGCCCAGTTTGCTTTTAATCACTATTGAATTGCATTCTGTTTTGTTAAATGGGTTTCTTTTAGGTCATTAAATACTCTTCCAAAAAACTGAAAAGAACAAAAAGAATCCTCTCCAGTTGGTCATATAACATTCCCACTTTCTCTGTGTTCACGCTAAATCCATCCTTACAGCAAGCACCCCATTGCTGAAGTTGGAGAAAAGCGCCTGCTGTTTTTCACAAGGACGTCTGTGGGTGGGGGACTTGGTCAGCATTCCTTTTGCTTATCGCATCACTTGATTTATTTGAGGGTGGAGGCAGTGAGGGGGAAGGTTTGACAGGCAGTGATAGCTCAGATGGTCAAACCTCAATACCACTGCAGGAGGATAAAACCTTCAGCCAAACAGACCTTCTAAATACCGCTGAGAAGCAGGAATAAACCACGCAGACAGGAATAAGGCTGCTGTCCAAGCATCACAGCACCTCTGTCACACTTGTGCAAACTCAAAACACACACATATGTATGCATATATCCTTTCCTGTTATTACCGGTAACCAGAGAGCTAAGGGTATAGGTTTAGCATCACACAGACTCAAGTGCTGACAACTTATTTTTACAGGGCAGCCTTGAAAAACCCAATAGAGGCAAACCAGAAGAGGGGAAGAAAAAAAAAAAAGGAGGTGAGGGCACATAATTTAATCTTTGCTATTGGCACTCACCAGCTTTCAGACCTCAGGCCCTGCACCTCCACCCGTCACCTTTCCATTTTCAACTGCAAGCTTTTCTGATAAATTGAGATGTAAAAACCACATTGGATATTGGATATGATGACTGAAAGGGATGCTGCGTGCAATTCTGTGTGTGTGTGTGTGTGTGTGTGTGTGTGTTGGGTGTGGGGAAGGATTGGAGTGAAGTCTCAGGAGGCTTGTGGAGCTTTGGGAAGCAGCACTATTGATCTTTGTGAGGTCACCACTTCTCTTTCTTGGCCAAGCCCCATGGGGGATCTTCCTTCCCGAACCTGGGGCAGAAACTGTGCCCTGCAGTGGAAGTGCATTTTCTGAAGAGGGACGCAATCAGACTGCACTGCTGATGTCCTGAGTGCAAACTTGCAGGCACTCTGTCAAGACCCGGTTAGAGAATTGGTTTAGGATTTTCCTTGTCAACTGCAAAATAGTTAAGAACTCACTTTGGCCTCCCATGACAGCTCAGCCTTGTGGGGAGGGTGCTGAACCTGGAGTTGAAAATCTCAACCCACGGAGCTTCCTGGCGGTCCAGAGGTGAAGACGCCATGTTCCCACTGCCGAGGGCCCAGGTTTGACCTGATCCTTGGTCCAGAAACTAAGATCCCACAAACCGGGCAGTGGGAGTGGGGGAACAACCTATAAAGTACATCTTGACCAAGTCCTGGTTTTGTTTCTTATTTGCCACATGAAAAAAAAAATTTTGGAAGCCTTATTTGTCTCATCTGTAAAATAGAGGAATAATAGCCTCTTTCATAAAATCACCAAGAGAATTTGAGACAGCAGTGCACAGGAAACCACTTTTAAGATGTCTAATGCTTTACAAAGGCAGGTGGTTATTATTATTATTTATAGTCTTTTCCTTATCTCACAGTCCCAACTCTGATAAAAAGATACTATTAGCAGCAACTTCAGTTGAAACTTTGCCAAAACCTTTCACTTTTCTTTCTCTGGGTTATATATCTCTCTCTCTTTTTTTCTTTCTTTCTTTCTCTATTACACCTAAAATGTTCTAGAGGCATGGGAGAAGAGCATTCCAGGATGTGAGAATGGACTGCTTCCCAGGGGAGGAGAGTGTTACTTCTCACACATTGGACAAACGTGTGTGGGTTTCTTTCAATGGTTTTAACCAGGGATGAATTTGATCCCACCCCTCCCCTACCATTCAGGAACGCTTTAGAAATATCTGAAGACATTTTCGATCGTTACGGCTTAATGGATGCTCCCAGCACCTAGTGGGTTAGAGAGGCCAGTGGGCCAGGCATGCGCAGGACAAGGCCCCTTCAAAAAGAATTATCTGGTCCAAAATATTCATCTTGCCAAGGCTGAGAAACCCTGCTGTATTTGGAGGATATCTTCCTTCCTAGTTTTCCCAGATGGGTTTTTTTCAGTTGGCAAGCTTCTGGAAAGCTTGTCTCTGCTGCAATTAGGCACACACACAC